TTTTTTTTTTGCGGTACGCGGGCCTCTCGCTGCTGCGGCCCCTCCCGCTGCGGAGCACAGGCTCCGGACGCGCAGGCCCAGAGGCCATGGCTCACCGGCCCAGCCGCTCCACGGCACGTGGGATCCTCCCAGACCGGGGCACGAACCCGTCCCCCCTGCATCGGCAGGCGGACTCTCAACCACTGCGCCACCTGGGAAGCCCACATTTTTCTTTTTATGGTATGAATCAGATTATATCATTCCCCTGGATAAAACCCTTGAATGACTTCTTGTTATACTTCAAAGAAAATCCAAACTTCTCTATCATGGCCTATAATGCAGCCTATGTCTAACTTACTGATACCAACTTGGATTTATATTCCCTGCTACCCCTTGCTTCTTTGTACTCCAGCCATGTTTACATCCTTTTAATTCCTCAAACACACCAAGTTCTTTCTGACCTCACAGCCTTTGTACATGCTGTTTATTCTTCATGGATTGCTTTTCAATCCATTCTTCCATAACAGACCCCCTTGGCCTCCAGGTTTCATTCTAAATACTACCTCCATTAAGAGTCTTCTATGACTGGGACTCCCCTGGTAGCACAGTGGTTACGAATCCACCTGCCAATGCAGGGAACACTGGTTCAAGCCCTGGTCCAGGAAGATCTCACATGCTGCGGAGCAACTAAGCCCATGCACTATAACTACTGAGCCTGTGCTCTAGAGCCCGCAAGCCACAACTACTGAGCCATGTGCCACAACTACTGAGCCTGCAAACCTAGAGCCTGTGCACCACAACGAAGTGTAGCCCCCACTTACTACCACTAGAGAAAGCTCGTGTGCAGCAATGAAGACCCAGTGCAGCCAAAAATAAATAAATAAATACATAAACTTATTTAAAAAAAAACGAATCTTCTAGATTACTATCTAGAAAATGCTCTTCTGTTAGTCTTTATCATGGGTCTGCTCAGATTAATGGGTACTATTTATTCTAAGTAGTAATTAATATTTAGTTGTTTCTGTTATCTGTCTCCCCAATCAGACTATAAGCTCCATGAAAGCAGAGACTTCTTTGTTCACCAAGTATCTGTACAATGTCACTGACAGTCTTTTAGACCAAGAAGATATCTGGTGTCAAAAAAGAGGTAAATACTCAACACAATACTGAATAGAGACTATATGTACTGAGAATTCTACACTTGCAGTCAACTACTAAATTTTTACTAGCCCACTCCCCCATAACAATAATTAAGCTAAAAATCTCAAAAAGCAACTAAATTATATATTCAATTCTAAATCAAAGTTTAAAATAAAAGGCTATAATAAAAGATGAAATGTGATGTTTACCCCAAATTCCCCTCCTTATCTAGCTGAAATAATGCTAGTCACACTAATAAACTTGTTTTCTTTTTTTTTTTTTTTAGGCCATGCAGCTCGGCTTGCGGGATCTTAGTTCTCCGACCAGGGATTAAAACCATGCCCCCTGCAGTGGAAGCGCAGAGTCCTAACCACTGGACCTCCAGGGAATTCCCTTAGTTTCTATTTTGCTCAATAGGTTCCAAGTCAAGCAACTGGTTGAAAACTTCAAAGTGAATGTAAACAAATTCCTAATTTAGTGAATATGGAAAGCAAGTAAATGAGCTAAGGTTAAAGATTTTAAAAATACCTTTAAAGATAAGCATAATAAAGAATTTCAAAGTACTTTTTAAAAAGAGTCAACTAAGCATTTTCTAATAGCCCACCTCAGTTGCTGCGGATTTTCATGGATACCAACCACCCAGTAGTGATCAGATTTTCCTTTGCAGTGCTCTCTTGTGTTACATACAGGAGTCCATGTATGACCAAGTCCTCTGTTAAGCATTCGAACAATGCCTTCTGAATCCACATAAAATGGGGTACCTATATACCAACAGAAAAACAAATCACCTGGAAGCACAACTAAGTATTTGTTAAATAAATCCTTTTTCAAATACACACACCAATCAATCAACTTTCAATTCAAAAGCAAAACAAAAAACAAAAAAAGCCAACCAAACAAAAAAAACCTCCCCAAAACCCAAAAGGCAAATAATCCAAGATTATTTCCCATAAACTTTCACTAACCACATAGAGTAAGACTAACTGAATCAAAGGAAAAAAAAATTGCATGTGATGTGACTAAAATTTATCCAAAAAAAGAGGAAAAAAACCCCTGATCAATTCAGAGAAAACTATGCCACCTGCTGGAATACAGCAGTTTTTCAAAGCCAATTTCAGTAAAGAAGTTAAAATTGAATGTGAAGTTTCCTTGGTCAAGAGAGACTTGGAAAAATGAGGAGAACCTAATGCAAGGTGATGATGTAGAGAAATCTATCTTTAGTACTCTTCTTCCTCTCCCCTCTCTTGGCCTTGTCACTGTTCTGTTCCCCAACAGTTCCCCACTGTTCTGCTCCTAGACTTACCTAGGAAACAAGTAAGCATCCCTGTTTCCCACCTACTCTGCTCCCATTTCAGGAAGTACCTGGCAAATTCCCTAATTATCCTTTTCTTATCTGTGACTTCACACCCCTCTTACTCTGCAAACAGCAGTTTCCTCAGGGTCTACATCTGATTGGTAACTAACTGGGAGAAAAAAATAAAGCTATATGAATGGAAGTTATTAATGGTCACATTATTAAAGCATAAGTGACTAATTAATATCCCAACAGAAAACATATCCAGAAATGGTTGGGTTTTTTTAAAGACAAACTGGAGTTTCCAATGATGTAATTAAAGGGCATGAATCTCCAATAATAGAAATATTTAAGCCAGAAGACAGGGTTAACAAGTGCCTTAAAATAAGGTACTCCTCAGTGTCCTTCAAATCATCTGTCATAACCCACTGTTAAGTGAGTCTACAACAGCACACTGTTTAACAGAAATATCATGTGGGCCACAAATGTAATTTTTAATTTCCTCCTGCCACATGACAAAAGGGGAAAAAAAAGTGAAGTTAATTTTAATAATATACTTTATTAAATCCAATATATCCAAAATATTATCATTTTAACATGTAATCAATATAAAAGAATTATTGAAATTTTTTACTTTTATTTCATACTAAGCCTTCAAAATTTGGAGAGTATTTTATACTTATAGCACATCTCAACTCAAATTAGCCACTTTTCAAGTGCTCTATATATAGCCACATGTGGTTAGTGGTTACTATAGTGGAAATCAGTAGAAAATTCCTGATTTTCACGTAGAATCTGCTAAAAAAGCCAAAACTTGAACACTGATTTGTATCTCCTTTTTGCTAGCTAATAAACTTCCAGAAAAATTTATTTCCCTCTTTGTAAGTTTTCTAATCAGAATTCTGATGAAGAGATCTTGTACATAAAACAGTGGCTACCTCGCCTGGAAATTCCAGTTTCCAGTTCTGCCAATATATTAAAATAAATAAATTTAAACATAAAATATAGACAATTTATCTTTAAGCAAATTAATTAGGAATAAATGATGAAGCAATTTTCTTCTTGAGAAATAACTTTAATATAAATGAATTTATCTTGCCTTCAGCTGAAAAGCCAAGCCATACAAGGTAGGATTTCCTTGTAAGAGGAAGAGGATCACCATGTAAAATTTGTTTTTTCTTTTTCCCCAGCTCCAGCAGTTGAACTCCAAGGCACTGATCCCCATCAAATCCTGTACCTAGTGAGAAAATGTAAATATAAATCAGGTATCAAAGGTTATTAAGCTATGATGTAGTTTAAATTATTTTCTCTGAATTGAATTTTATTTTGTGATAAATTCCTAAATTAGCAGTACTTTTTATAGATAATCCACTTACCTGAGGCACCATTCAGGGATCAGAAGCAGAATAGTATGTTACATGGACTATTTATATAAAGTGTTTATAAGTGGTAATTCATTCACTCAAGAAGTATTTAAAGAGAGCTTACTTTGTACCAGGTACTGAGGCTGCAATGGTAAACAAGACAAAGTCAGCATTCTCATGAAACTCATATTCAGGTAGGAGAGGAAAAACTAATTTAAAAAGAAAGAAAATACTAAGTGTCATGATCAAAGATTAAAATACTAATGTGATACAGTGTCAGACTGAGTGGCTACTTTAGATTGGACAGACAAAAGTGGCCTTTTGAGAAAGTGAAATTTAAACTGAGATATGATTTGCAGGTTGGAGTCAGCCATCCAAACGATAGGGGGAGGGGCACTACAGTAGACAGGGAAAAGCTAATGAAAAGGGCCTAAGTTGGGAATAAGCTTGAAGCTTTGAAGAACACAAAGAAGCCAGTAGGGCCAGAACCAGTAACGAGAAAAATAGTGGTAAGAGATGAGGTTGAAGAGGCAGGCAAAGATCAGATCATGTAGGACCTTGCCACCTGGGATAACAAGTTTGATTTTTATTCTAAAGCAATAGGAAGACATCAGAGGATTCTGAGCAGAAGAGGGAAGTGATTGGATTTATGTTTTTAAAAAATCACCTAGGCTGCTATGTGGAGAATGGATTGTGGCAGGCAAGAACTGAAGCTGAAAAGCTAGTTAGGAGGTTATTCCAACAGTCCAAGAGATGATGTCTGGGTTCCACTGGGGTTTTAGTGGAGATAAAAAGAGACAGATGTGCAATGCGTTGTGTGAACTGACATGATAATGACTTTGCTGACAAAGTCAGCAATGTGGGGATGTGAGGGAAAGAAAGGATAACTCTTAACATTTCTGGCTTGAGTAGCTAGATTGATGGTATGCCGTTTACTGAAATGGAAAAACTAAGAAGCAAGTTTGGAGGGGAAAAAGAAAGCCCAGAGGCTTTATTGTGACCAAGTTAAGTATGAGATAAATATCAAAATTCTACATAGAGATTTCAAGTCAGCAATTGGATATTAAGCCTGGAGACACAAGGAGGGGGTAGGGCTGGTGATATTAATTTAGAAGTCATGAACATATAGATGTATTAAAGCCATGGGTGTTAATGAGATATCCCAAAGTAGTTTCTCAAACTGCATTTTTTTGACCTGTGAGTCATGAAATCAATCCAGAGTTACAACCAGAATTTAAAGAAAAATGAAATCAAAGAGTAAATATTGTCCATGAGACTTTCATTCTAGTTATATCTGCAGGTATGTATAGAATAGCAACATAGAATATATTTCTCACTAGGGCTAAGCAGTTCAAAGACTAATAGCTCCTGACCTAGTGAAAGGAAGAGAAGGGGGCTGTGACTGCGCCCTGGAGTACTCCAGCTAAGAGCGGGGCATAGGAATAGGAGCCAGCAAAGGAGCTGAAAGAGTTATCAGCTCCTAAGGAAAAAAAAATGGGCGAGTGACATCACAGAAGCCAAGAGAAGAAAAGTATTTCTGGTGGAATTATTTAAATAAGCATAAAAAGATCATCAGTAACCTTAATAAAACCAGCCTTAGCACAGCGATGGGGACTGAGGACAGAATATGAAGTGAGGAAAAGGAGGCAACAACTTTTTAAGTTACATTCAAAGTTGCTTTGGTCCTTCACACGAGGAGTTAGTTTATTTTTTTGAGGCATTTAAACTCTGATAATTCTTATACGATATAGACATGGAAGCAATTAACCAAACTCTACCTTAGAATTCTTTCTATAGTACAGTTTTTCTATAAATAAAATGTTTTCATTTTCATTGCTATTAGTGAATACAACAAAATTCTGTACAAAGATTATACTGATTCAAATACTAAAATAAATGCAAAAGGAGATACAATCCAAAACAGAGAGAAAAAAAGCTTAAGTAATTTCCATTTTACTTCAGGTCATGGTAAAACCATAAAATAGTAGAAAAAATCTACCTCTGTGATAAACAATGACAAGCTGTTCTCCATGTCCTGCCACTGACACAACAGGCCCAGGGAGACTGAAGACCTCTTTCTGAACACCTCCAATGGTAAACAAGCGAAGGAGCAAGGCACTAGTGGCAGCAGCAGCCCATCCCTGACCAAGACATATGGCTTCAATATTTTCATTCTGAGGCATGTCTACTATCCACTCTTTGCTTGAATCCCATGAACTAAAGTGCAGGCAGTGAAGCTTGCTAAAAATTAAAAGACAGAAACAATCAAACTTTCATATTTGATATTTTATACATATATACAACTAATCATTATACCCAGTAACAATCAAATAGTTTATTTTTCTATTACACACAAATAATACAAAAATGGCTTTAAAAAAGTAATTATGAAATATCCTTAAAATGAACTATGTTAAAACCATTAATAGTCATGTTACTGAAGAATATTTAAAGATACAGGAAAATGCTCACAATATAATGTTAAATTTAAAAAAGCAGGATAAAATCAGCAGAGTGTGATCCTAGGCTGCAAATACACATAAAAATCACAACCAAATTTTTAAAAAGGAAGGAAGCATCAAAATGTTAGGCAAGAGTCCTCTCATTGCAAAAAAGAAAATTCAATATGGGAGAACAAAGAGAAAAATAAAAAAAAATCATAATCCCACCAGCAAGATTACCAACCACTGCTAACAATCTGATTTGTGTTTCCAGTCTTTTTTCTTTGCATATTTACATACATGCAAGTTATTCTGAAACTTAAGCTTCAAAACGTAGATACCACAGTATTTAGAATCAGAGGCAGTACTGACTTCCTAAACAGTAATTTTAAATTCAAATTTAAAATAAAGGGAGATGAGGGACTTCCTTGGTGGTCCAGTGGGTAAGACTCCGCGCTCCCAATGCAGGGGCTCGGGTTCCATTCCTGGTTGGGTAATTAGATCCGGCATGCATGCCACAACTAAGAAGTCCGAGTGCTGAAACTAAAAGATACCACATGCCGAAATGAAGACCCAGTGCAGCCAAAATAAATAAATAAATAAAAATAAAATAAAGGGGGATGGGAATTCCCTAGCGGTCCAGTGGTTAAGATTCCACGTTTTCACTACCGAGGATGCGGGTCAATCCCTGGTCAGGGAACTAAGATCCCCCAAACCACGCAGCTCAGCCGGGGGCGGGGGGAGGGAGAAAAAAAAGGGTGGGGGGGTGGACCTAGACATTATCATGTTAATTGAAGTAAATCAGAAAGAGAAAGACAAATATCATATGAACACAAATGAACATATCCAAGAAACAGACTCACAGACATAGAGAACGGACTTGTGGTTGCCAAGCCGGGGGGAAAGCGGGGTGGGACGAATAGAGAGATTGGGATTGACACATATACACTACTATGTATAAAATAGATAATGGGTCCTACTGTATAGCAGAGGGACCTATATTCAATATCCAGTGATAAACCATAATGGAAAAGAATATGAAAAAGAATATATATAACTGAATCACTTAGCTGTACAGCAGTAATTAACACAATATTGTAAATCAACTATACGTCAATAAAATATTTAAAAAATAAAATAAAATAAATAAAAGGATAACATTGTATATGACCCTGAAGTAATATATCTAGGAAAACAAAGAGAAGATCAATGATCAATCAGGAAATCATAACAATCTTAACAATCCGAAATCAAAATTGCACATGGAGCCAAGGGGGAAGGGGGATGTGAGAGGATGGATTGGGAGTCTGGGGTTAGTAGATGCAAACTATTATACACAGAATTGGATAAACACTGAGGTCCAACTATATAGCACAGGAAACTATATTCAATATCCTGTGATAAACCATAATGGAAAAGAATATAAAAAAGAATGTATACATATGTATAGCTAAATCACTTTGCTATACAGCAGAAACTAACATAACATTGTAAAACAACTATACTTCAATTTAAAAAAATTGCCATGGAAATAAATGTTCTAATTATGTAAGATATTCTGAGTTAGAGACACTGAGTCAACAGTGATTATTTTAGTAAATTGATTTAATTCAATAATAAAGTATTGAGTTGATTTTACAATGTGTAAATTAGGAAACCAATTAAAATATTAAAATGACCCAATTTGGTGTTTCTCAGGCTTTAATGCATACTCTATCACCTGAGGATCTTGTTAAAATGCAGATTCTGACTCAGAAGGTCTGGGTTTGGGTCTGTGATTCTGTGTTTTCAACAAGCTCCCACGTGACCCATGCCCCTAGTTTGTGGACCATAATTTGAGCAGCGAGGAACTAATGTATCCAGTCAGAAGGATTTTAATTTCAAATCACCTGGGACTTAGTAAAATCTATGATCAAGTGTATAAGCACTATGATCAGCTGAAAAAATTAACAGGGCAAACTGGCTGAGATAACAAAGCTGAATAAAATATTTTTTCTTCTTTAAAAAAAATACAGATTCTGCATCCACTGCTTTTCCATCATAATTTTTTTGTCTCTATATCTACCTACCTACCTAGCAACCAACCAATATATCTAAGTTAAAGTTTTTTAAGTTAAAAAGTCAAAATGACAAATAGTACTAATAACATTTTTAGTGTGTTTTTCCTTTTTTTTTTTTTAAAGAGAAGTTTCAAATCTAATCTATAGTGACAAAACCCACATCAGTAGTTGTCCAAGGCTGGGATTAGATTAACTGTTAATTGTTAACAGTAGTTATACCTGAGAGTAGAATTCTGGGGGGAATTTTCATTTTCTAAAAATTCTGTACTACTTAAGCTTGCTTGTTTACAATTAATCTGTTTATTACTCTTATGTAAGAAGGGGACAAATAAGCAAAAACAGACATATGGTCTGAGGTATTACGGGTGTGCTGCTATTTGTACTAAACTCTTCCTTCTGAAATTCCATACTATAAAAGACATAATTTTGTTTTTCGTCTTACAAACTTTTTGTACTGAATTTCAACATTTTAGTACAACAGTTCAACAGTAATAAATTCTTCCTAATAATCTTAAATTTACCTTGCTAGTTCATCAGTGCTTTCACATGCCAACAAAACAGCTTCATGGGAAAGATCTGCTACTGTATAATTCAAAGTGTTTGCTAAGTGTGTTGCATGGTGTATGGAGGTATCATGGAACTCCACATCTATGGCATTGTCTTGCTCATCATTATAGCAGCGAATAATTCCAATAGAGTTCCACACCTACAAACATGTAAGGTTTAAATACAAGTCTGAGAAAGAGTAAAGTTCTTAGAATCAACAGACTAAAATAGTACAAATTAACAAATAATGTAGTCTGTATCAGGGATTAAGTTATGGGAGCAACCACAGCTTACTTACCTCTAAATAGTTTCAGGTAACAGTAGTTAACATCGGAGCAACAATTACTAATTATTCTCTTCCTCATGAGAAGAAGGTACATATATACTTATTTATTAGCAAATGGAATATTTTACCTAATATTTAAAAAAATTATATTACTGTCATAAAAAAATGCTTTACAATTCACCTTTGGATAACTGAACCATTAAATTCATCAAACAAAACATTTCAAAAATGTATTTACTTACAAATATGACTGCATATTTCATTTGGTCCAAAAGAAATATTCTAGCCACATTCTAACATGGTTTATAGTTACGGCATAAATATATACATTTTAAGGCAGCATAGGACTTCCCTCGTGGCTCAGTGGTTAAGAATCCGCCTGCCAGGGATTCCCTGGTGGCACAGTGGTTGGGAGTCCGCCTGCCGATGCAGGGGATGCGGGTTCCCGGTCCGGGAAGATCCCACATGCCGCGGAGCGGCTGGGCCCGTGAGCCATGGCCGCTGAGGCTGCGCGTCTGGAGTCTGTGCTCCGCAACGAGAGAGGCCGCAACAGTGAGAGGCCCGCATACCGCAAAAAAAAAAAAAAAAAAGAATCCGCCTGCCAATGCAGGGGACACGGGTTCAAGCCCTGGTCTGGGAAGATCCCACGTGCCATGGAGCAACTAAGCCCGTGTGCCACAACTACTGAGCCTGCATTCTAGAGCCCGCAAGCCACAACTACTGAGCCCACGTGCCACAACTACTGAAGCCCATGAGCCCTAAAGCCTGTGCACTGCAACTACTGAGCCCACGCATGGCAACTACTGAAGCCCACATGCTCCAGGGCTCATGTGCTGCAACTACTGAGCCCGCATGCCTAAAGCCTGTGCTCTGCAACAAGAGAAGCCACCGCAGTGAGAAGCCCATGCATTGCAACAAAAGAGTAGCCCCCGCTCGCTGCATCTAGAGAAAGCCTGCTCGCAGCAGCGAAGACCCAACACAGACAAAACTAAATAAAAATAATTAAACACACACACACACACACACACACACACACAAACAGGAATTTTTTAAAAAAAGGCAGCATAAATTGATACCATTTGGAAAACTTGTCTTCCACTCATGTACACTACAGGCTCACACTACGCAGGGTAGGCCCTAGTGCTTCCTTTCCCCTACTACAAATACAGCTATAAAGTATTTCACAATATTAGAAAAATTAATATCTATTACTTGATGATGATTACTGACAGCAATAAAAAGGTTGTTTTTTTTTAAAAATAAAACATCACCTTTAATATTTACCTACAAATTTATGCCAGGACCATACAATTTAAGAAGGACAACTGTCAAAGTCCTCAGTGGAAAACCTCAAATAATCAACAAATAAAAATATTAAACTTTTTTATGTCTCAAGACAAAAAGTTAATATAGTCATTCATCCATAAATATATATTGAATGCCTATTGTGCCATTGTTCTAAGTGCTATCAGTAAACAAAACAAAAAAATCTCTGTGCTTCTGGAGAATATATTCCATTGGCATGGGGAAAAGGGGCAGATAGCTTTTTTTTTTCATAGCACTTATTATTACCTTCTAATAGTATACCATACCAGTGGTTGCTTTCTAAAAAACACCTTCTAACTAGTGTGCTGGAATCAGTACAATCTCCTATATAAAAACTAATATGAGAAGTAAAGTTTGGAAGTATAGCCAAGAGGTACTACAAGATATACAGTCACATTTATTATGTTCATTATATGTCATTTTGCAAAGCAGAATTTTATTTAACACAACATTCAATAATAAGGTTGAAATAAAATTAAAACTGAGTTAACCATAAAATAAATCAAGCACAAAATTATAATCAACCAAAGTGTTCCAGGCCAGTTAACCAAGGTTTTTAACAAATATTTTTACCAAACAAAATTAACTACAGTGAGATAAAATACTTTTAAGTATTTTTAAGTAAAATACTTTTAAGTGAGATAAAACTATTTTAAAGTTACATGTAGATGAAAGGCTTACCATGAATCTGTGAGTGAGATGCAAGGGTGTAGAACCTGACTGGAATGGCTTTTGCCGGGGCGTTGGCATAGGACCATCATAAAATGGCCTTTGGGATGTCACAACTGGTAGATTGTGAATGCTGCCTGCCTGATCATCCTCCTCCTCTTCTTTGAGAAAACTAGAACCAGTTTTTATCATTGTAACATCTAGAAAACAAAGGATTATAATTAGAGAATCATAATTACCTATTACCTTGAAAAAGAAAAGCATTACGAAATCTAATAACCTTGTCCATTCACATTTAGTAATACTAACATTTTAATACTATTTGCCTCTTTCACTGTGTTAACATCTGCAGTGATCATTCAAAAGCAATGGAGGGTAAAACTGCCGGTACCTTAGCATGAATCAAAGCAGTGGCATTAATCTGTATTAGTAGTCAGTGTATTGTTAACCAATTGCAGTAAAAATAGTAAAAATATTAATTTTATTAAATCTTGATCTTTGCATAGATTTTTAAAAAATGTTGTCTGTGTTAAAATGGGAAGTGTGCATAAAGAATTGTGATGGGGGATTTCCCTGGTGATCCAGTGGTTAAGACTCCGTCCTTCCAATGCAGGGGTTGTAGGTTTGATCCCTGGTCAGGGAACTAGATCCCACATGCTGTGCAGCACAGTCAAAAAATTTAAAAAAAAAAACATGCTGTGTAGTGTGGCCAAAAAAAAAAAAAAAAAAAAAAAAGAACTGTGATGGTTGTCTCAAAAGAAAAAGCAATTCTGCAATGGAGTTGTAAGCTGAACTAGCTAATTTTTTCATGTGACACCATTTTTATTGGAAATACCAGATAAACTATGGTTTATCAAGTATGTGGCAAACATTTTCTTAAAAATGAAGTAAGCTGGTCATTTAAGAACAATAACTGACAGAATTTGTGGTCAATGATAAAATTGGAGCTTTCAAGCGAAAATCAGAATAGTGAAAAACGTGTATCTGCCACCATGAGCTTGACTGCTTTGTAATATTTAAAAACTTCTGATGAGATTGGCGATGATACTAACAAATATTATTCTGGATAACGTGTCAATATTAGGAAGGTCTGCAAAGCTCAGGAAACAGTATTTTCCAAATTAACAATGCATATGTGAAAAAATCAAACATGGCAAAAGATCCATTCAAGTTAGACCAATGGATTTTAATGTAATAATAGAGTTGAAAAGTTCACCAAAAGGTTTTCAGATTCCACATTGCAAATAATCTTTAAGAAATTATCATTTGTTGCGTTTTGGTGCAACATCGAAGAAGAATATCCGCAATTCTTTCAATAGGCTATTAAAATACTTCTCCTTTTTCAAACTACATATTGTGTGAGGCTAAATTTTTTTCACATACTTCAAACAAAAACAAATATATGGCAGTAGACTGAATCCTGAAGCACATGAAAGAATCCAGCTGTCTTCTATGCTAAGATCTGCAAAATGGTAAAATAATATCATTTTTCTAGAGTTGTTTTATTTTCATAAAAAAATGTTATTTTCATTTACATATAATGAGTTTATTAATATTACTTTAAAATGAATATTTTAAAAATTTCTCAGTTTTAATTTCTAACACAGTAAATAACAATAAATATAACTCCACAAACAATTTTCTTTGGGGTCCTCAAAAAATTTTAGGAATGTAATGAGCTCCTGAAACCAAACATTTGAGGAGCGCTATCCTATAAACCCTATATGCTATAAATGCAGCATAACTTACCACTGTACACTGGCATTTCACTTGGTAATGTTCAAATGTGTTAATTTTAGCATATAAGTTGTAACAGTCACTTTATTTAAAGGTTTTTCATTACAATCCCAATATCTTTAACAGATACCAAACTATTCAGGTTACCTATTTTTTTTTGTTTAAAAATTTTTAACATTTATTTATTTATTTAATTGGCTGCACCGGGTCTTAGTTGCCACGTGTTGGATCTTCAGTTGCAGCACGCAGGATCTTTTAGTTGCGGCCAGGTTACCTATTTCTTGAGTTAGCTTGGTAGTCTGTGTCTTTCAAAGAATTTACCTATTTTATCTAAGTTGTTGAATTTATGGACAGAAAGTTGTTCATAATATTCACCTATTAAACTTTTGTTATTAATAGCAGTGCTATCTTACAGAAATATAATGTGAGTTACATATGTAATTTAAAATTTTCTAGTAGCCATAAATAGTAAAAAGAAACAGGTGTAATTAATTGTAATAATATACTGCATTTAAAATATAATTTCAACATGTACTCAATGTAAAAAATGACCAAGATATTTTACATTCTCTTTTTTGTACTGTCTTCAAAATCTGGTTGCATTTTATACTTAAAACACACCTCAATTTGAACTAGCCACATTTTAAGTGCTCAAAAGCCATAAGTGGCTAGTGGCTATCATATTCGATAGTGAAGGTCTATGGAATACACGGTGATGATACCCCTTTCATTTCTTATATTAGTCATTTGTGTCTTTCTTTCTTGATCAATCAGGATAGAGATTTATCAGTTTTATTGATCTTTTCAAAGAATAAGCTTTCGTTTTTACTGACTTTTCTATAGCTTTTGGTCGTCAATTTCATTGAATTCTGTTCTTTATCATTTCCTTCCTTTTACTCGCTTGGGGTTTAATTTCCTCTTCTTTTTCTAGTTTGCTAAAGCAGAAGCTTAGATCATTGTTTTGAAACCTTTTTCAACATACGTATTTAATGCTATAGCTACATTCTACCAATCCAGTACTGACTTTAAATAATAGTTTTAATAAAAAATTGAAAATATTGATCAGTAAGATGGATCATCACATTCACAAAGTCAATTCATACCAACTGAGTTTTCATCATCTTCTAGGATATGACTTCGCTGTCTAGGACGACCTGAAGCCAGCATGAGGTCATCATCATCTTCCTCATCATTTATAATCCCTTTCGAAAAAGAGCGGGTTTCGACTGCATTGTCATTTAGAAAATCACCAGCACTACTTGTATCTTCTCCATCAAAAAGATCATTATAAACCTTTTCTACTCTGCTAGATACCTTGAACAAATTAATACAAATTCGAAAGTATTAGTGAACTACTTAGTTAAACACAATTACTCAAAAGGCAATCTTTTAATATGCACCTATAAACTCTACCAAGTAAGCAAGTGCCTTGGTAAAAATAATTAGCAAATATGTTTATGAGGATTGTATTATATTTATATAAGACCGAGTCCTTACTTTAAATGCCTATAGTCTACGGATAAGGTGGAAGTATAAGACAGACATGTAAAGAAATACATGTGTATACCCAAATATAAAGTAAGATTTTATTCCTCACAATCATTCTCCAGAAAAGAAGTCACCTATGAGTCCTTACAAAGTCTCTCATTATAAGATATTCTCTCATTTACTTTTATTTTGAACAAGATACTGCTTAGGTAAGATGTTTACTTTAAATGATCTCAGTTAAAGCTCGTCTTTGGGGTATTTTTTGATGCTTATAGAAGTAAACAAATAGAACCAAAAGAAAAGCATAAGTGGCAAATAAATCCAACATTAATCATTGATTCCTAGGAATATGAACATATCATTGCAAGTACTGGATGTCACTGTAAACAATTTTTGAGATCACTATAAAAAGTGAATAGTAAGCAGATACATTGTAAGGATCACAATTATTCCTACAGAATGAATAAAAACTGTACAATGTTAAGTCAATGGAAACTTATAGTTGGGTATAAAAGTCTAATGAGAACACCATTAATGGATTCAAAAGGGACTATATCACAAATCTTTTAGATGGAAGTGCATATAACTGTGTTCTGGAAAGTTGACATTTAAAGAAATGAGAGAACAGAAAAAATACTTCTAAATTCATATGTTTAAACAAATGATTTGAATAATTAAATTAATAACTATTGATAAATGCTATAAGAAGATATTTAACTATTTTATCCATAGTCCTAAAAGTTTATGCACTCAAGTTGGTCAAAAACTTTTTTCGGGAGGGGGCTTCCCTGGTGGCGCAGTGGTTGAGAGTCCGCCTGCCGATGCAGGGGACCCGGGTTTGTGCCCCGGTATGGGAAGATCCCACATGCCATGGAGCAGCTGGGCCCGTAAGCCATGGCCGCTGAGTCTGCACGAACTTTTTTCGGACTTTCTTATCAAAAATGAGGGTTTTAACTTACGGTGAGAGGTGTCGTAACAGAAACATGTACTATGAGGAGTAAAAGCAAAAAGGAGAGAGTGGGCAAATCTGGATAGAAGGGTTAAGGTTTTATAAGAGGTGTCCTTTAAACTAAAATTTTTTTAATTTTTTTTTTTTTTTTTTTTTTTTTTGGGGTAC